CTGCTCCTACCCTGCAGAGCGGCTGCTCCCAAACCCGGCCGTAGGCTCGGAGCAGAGGAGGGCTGTTTTTCTGGTTTGTTCAGCAGGGCGCTGCCTCCGGTGCCTTTTCCTGCTTGTGCCGACGCAGACAGCTGTGGTCAAAGAGCCATGGGCCGACCGCGCAGTCCCTTGGGCAGCAAGTTTCCCTTCTGTCCCTAGGAGTGTATGTTGCTGCTGCTAAGCCCAGATCTCGCTGCCTAACTAAAGCTCATACCTTGAATCAACAAACAATTGTGGAGCAACTACCTCTTGCCAGGCGTCATGCTAGTTTCTGAGCATAAGAAGGTGAATAATGCACTTCCTCTTACAGGTTGGGCACGGAGACGGAGGACAGCAGGCTCTAGAACCGGGATACCTGGATGATTCCCCACTCAAAAGTGTCTAACTGGGACACCTCGAGCTTCACCTTTCTCTGCCAGGGTCCTGGTCTGGAAAGCCAGCGAGATATTAGGTCTACCCTAATGGAGTGGGTGCAAGCAAAGCCTCAGAGCAGGGCTTGGTTCACAGAGAGGCCTCATAAAAGCTAGTGAGGCGTCATACACACCCCCACACGCACACCTAAGGAAGAAGCACCGGGGCACTGAGGCACACATGGAGTCTCCACTCCCGGTCCCTAGAGCAGCCCTTCCGGCTTAATGAGCCTGGAATTACATTTGCAAAGCAAATTGGTCCAAAGATTTCAACTCCCAGCCTCCTGTTCCTAGCCATCTCACCTTCCCTCAATACATACAGATTTTAAGATCCGTTTGGGAATCAGAAACCCTGTAGAGAAACTCCACTTCGGACGATGTTGACTTGTGTCCACAGTGCTGGCATCCTCAATCGTACTTGGTGCTAGTGACACTCAACATCCTGTCCCTAGTGGTCAGGCATCTGTGACCAGAACATCTCAACTGTGGGCTCCTATTGGAGTTCCTACGGCCTAGAAACAGTGAGGGCTAAAGAAAGAAAGACAATAGAGGCTTGTGCAATTTAAAAGTATATGGGGGGGTGGGGATTTAGCTCAGTGGTTAGACCACCTGCCTTGCAAGCGCAAGGACCCGAGTTCATTCCCCTGTACAAAAAAAAAAAAAAAAAAAAGTATATGGGCCTCACAGAGGTCAGTGCCTCAGAGCAGGCAAAGACAAAGACACTCCCAGCTCTCCACTATTTATTGGGTTCGTATAATAATCCAAGGGAGTATCAGATGGCTCAGGGGGCAGTTTGGTAATCCTAAATTGATGAGGATCTTATGCTGAGGAGAATCTTAGGTTTGTGAGGAGTTTATGCTGATCAGGACAGTGAAATGAGCAAAAAAAGTACATCAGTAGGTGGGACGAGTTAAACTGATAAGGAATTTGTCCCTCTGTAGGTGAATCTTTTTTTTTTTTTTCTTACTACTCAATTCTCAAGCAGGATGTCTTCAGCTGATATAATATTACCTTTGAACACCACAGTATCATGGGACCATTAAGGCCTGAGCTGTGACCTAAGCCAAAACAAAGTTATATTTCCACATGCCATCTCCAGCTAGAAGGCAAGAAGACTAGGCCTTAGACAGCCCTAATTTAATTATGAAATGATTTTCCTCAGATGATATAGAATGGCTCCCAACAGACTCTGCCCCATTGGTCTGCAACAGGGGGTCGTGCTAGCTGCATTGACTAGCTGTTCTGACTTTGGCTCTCTGACACACAGATCCTAAGAGATCAGTCTGCACCTCACCTGGAATTTTGAAAAGAATCTATTAACAAAGGAACATAAATTAAGGGAATGAAGGAGAAAAATTGCTGAGGCACCCTGGAAGAGCAATAGCAGGGACCTGTTAGCACCTTTAGGCCTAAAAGGGGCTGGAGCTTGATTGAGTTGGAGCCATTGATGGGGAATTATGATGGGATCTGTGTCACCAAAGACTGCAGACTTGACTGGAAGTACCAAGACCTCTCACACTCCTCACTCCTGTCCTGACCCAGGGCCCAGATAACTTTTCTCCTGGTTCTGATGATTATAGAAGCTCAAACTCAGTGGAAGATTCGCTTGTGTCTGGTGGATTGTACCTATCTCCAACCCTGGTTTCTCTATGCAAAATTACTGCAATCGTCTGTGCTTCGGAGAACCGGAGGCATCTGCTCCTGCCACAAGCTCACTAGAAGCCACATCTTCTGATGCCTTCTATGTTCCATGGAACAAGGTTTGCTTATTTCCTAGACTCGGATGCATTTCCAGATTTCTATGTCCTGATCAGTCCCTGTGGTATAGGGTGGGGACTATCGGTCTTGAAGGATCTGATTTACATTCTGTCAGTGCTCTTGGAAAAGTTGTTAGTCTCTTTAACTTCTTCCCTCATTGTAAAATGATTACTACTCTGTAAATAACTTAAAGCCTTTATTCCTGCACCTGAAAATTGCAAAATTTTAGTAACTTTCCATGACTGTATATATATTTTTTAACTAATACCCACTAACACCCAACCCTTAGCACCAAGGTCCAACTGATTCAATAAGTGTTCTTTCAAAGTCTATTTTCCTTGTTTTATTTTCCTGGTCACTGTCACTTGCTGATACCTCCTGGTATTACCTGAAACTGCTTAAAATCTGATTCTTAATCTGCTCCTGTCTCTAGTAACTGCAGATTTCTTTTTTTTTTTTTTATTGAGTTTATTGGTATATTTTAGGTATACAGTTCAATTACACTCATTACTGGGATCTTGTACCTTTACATGGCAGGTTTTGGTTCTCATTTTTTCCCCTTGTCCCTGCCCTCCCTTCACCTCCTCCTCCCCTCCCCGTTTACAAACACTTTATTTCCATTTTTTCATATTTTTTCTTTTCCCTTATTCCCTTTCCCTTACCCTTCCTACTTTCCCTTCACCTTTAGCCCCTTTTCTTCCTATTTCACGTTGTTAATTGTCTCATTAGGATCTTGTGTACTGCAGATTTCTTAATCACCAGTTGACCTAGAATGTAAATGTGTCCCAACCTCTGCCTGAGGAATTTCTTTATCCTTGGGTTTGACTCCAAACTAAGGAGGAAGAATGAGTTAGAAAGAAGTATTTCCTTCCAAAGGTAATTTAAATTAACAATCTGCTGGACATGGTGACACATACTTACAAACCAAAATACTCAAATTCGAAGCCAGCCCAAGAATCTTAGGGAAAGCCTATCTCAAACTTAAAAGGGATCTGGGGGGGTGAAAATTAGTTCAATAGTACAGTACTTCTGGGCTCAGTCCCCAGCAGTTTAAAAAAATTAAATTAAATTAAATTGAAAAGTCCTTATGAAAGTTAAGTATTTTTAAATGAGGAGACAAACACTACCTAGACTGTTTTTGCAATTTATCTAGAATTTATTTCTATAAGGTTCACTTTCTAAACTGCATTGTTATTCCACAAATAGTTATCTTTAATGTAATTAAAATTATTATTGTCTCAGTTGCTTTCGATTATTGTTCAAGAGTCAAATTTAAACATTAAAAACTTAAAATGTAATTATTGTTGAGGTTTGTGGACCAAAAGAAGATTTTCTATTTTGCTATTCTTGTCATAGTGCTTTCTCTTTTTTATTCATCTCCTTGATGAGCAAGTGATTTCCCAAATGGTTTTCATGTAAACCAAAAAATATAGTAACAATATCAATGATTCACCAATACTCCAAAGCATCTCATTACCTTCAGATAGGTTTGTACTTTTGAAAATGTAACAGTTTGTACCCATGTGTTCAGTGACAGCCAGCAATACTACTACTATGGATAGTAGGTCAGCTGCTTAATCAGTCAGGCAGAAAACACTAGAGAAATGGCTTGCAGTGCTTCATTTTACAGTTTTCAAGGCACTGTGAAGGATAGCTTGAGTTCCTGCAAATTCTCTCCCATCAATGGCATACGAAATATTCCTGTATTGGTTTATAGAAGCCATTCCAGCTCCCTAACAACCAATTTGGGGATTTGCCATAATTCACACATTTGCGAGAGTATAAGGGTATCCCAATGTCATTCGGGTTTTAAAGATGTTTATGTTGGCCTGAACTATCAAAGCAAGATGGGCAGATGTTTATCAACCATTTCCCCACCCCACAGTGCCGAGGAACACATATATGCACTCAATCAGTACTAGCAAGTGCCTGTAGTGGTAGTGGGGAAGTGTGGTTTCAGAAACTACCTCCAATGAATCTGATGGATCGCACCAGCCTTCCTCTACCCATAATTAAGATCACAAAGTTAGGTCTGGTTTTTAATTTTTCGAATAGGTATTCTATGTCTTAGAAATGTCCATAATGTAAAAATTACAATTCACCTTATACACAAGTCACAGCCATACCAGGCAAAATAACCTCAATTATAAGAACTTTCAGTCTAATTTGTTTTTTTTTGGTACCAGGGATCAAACTCTGGTCCTTGTACTTGCGAGGCAGGAGGCAGAACCACTGAGCTAAATCCCCTGCCCTGAGCCTAATTTGCTTTTATAAATTGGATTTAGTCAGTAGGTCTCCCCTTATGAATTAAGTGGTACACTCGGTCCACTGAATTTCACTTAATTGCATAGCCTGTTTCCTAAACCCTTAGGAACTTATTCAGAGAAGTATCATTAAAGTATTTTGTTCTTGAGATGCTTACAAAGAGTCTTTTAGCAAATTAAAATATACTCTGTAAACTGGAAAATATTTATTATATCAGGGAAATCATACCTAAATTTCTGTATTTGTACCCAATTTGGGAATGACATCTTTTGCTCTCTCTTCTTTTGCTGTTGCATTAAGATTTTCTGAGGTTCTGGGGAGCATTTGGAACCTTCATTTATAATAGCATTATTATTCTTTTGACTTTGTCCCACAAGAAGCAAATAATATCATTTATCTTTTTTTGACATTTTAGCCTGTTTGTTGGTACTGTTAACTCTGGCTTGTTATTGAAGAGATTATTATGAGATCAAGAATAAAGGCCACTGAATCAAAGCAAAATACATCAAGAATTAGGACTTATTGTGAGTGTACTATAGGTTTATAACTATACCAGGTATTATAAGGCCTACAAAACAAAAGAAAGTCTTGTCCATTGGGGTCTTATGAAAGAACAAAAACCCAGATGATAATATGTGTGAATATTTTCACTTTAACAAAAACCATCTAAAAATGCCTTGTTCTTTTCACTGTTGACCAGCATTATCATGATATCTTCAAATCCCCTGTACATGTTTTTAGTCCAACTACCATGATGATTCATCTCCCTACCATTTTAGTAAAAGTTGCTAACTCTAGGTTTCGTTGGTTGGTTGATTGATTGATTTCTCCATGTACAATATTACCATGTGCCATGGCTTAAAAAGGCCCCGTATGACATGGTTAGATGAAATAGGATTGAAAAATAGTAATAAGAGTGCTTACTCTGACAATAATAGAGTTTTATTTTATTTGTATTTGTGAAGTTTTTTATTCACTTAAGTCCATGGGAATGCTAATGGTCAGATACGGCTCTACATGGAATTTCTTATTACAGCAGCTCAAATTTGCCTCAGACCTTTTAAATATCCACATGCAGGAACATAAAGTAGGAACACCTGAATGTGCCCCTCATTTCTTATTATGTTTTAGAGAATTGGTTCATGACATTACTTTAGGTTTCTTCATCCCTGAATCAAGGACATTCTGTTGTCTTAGAATGAATAAAGCTATATCATCAGAGCAATTTTTATGGAAGATACAGTAATGTGCCTTTTAATAGGCACAGACAAACTTGAATCATCTGTAAGAAAATGGATGCACCTTGATACCATAAAAAAAGTGAAATAAATCAGAAACACAAGCTTAAATATTGTATGGTTGTCCTTAGATGAGAAACCCAAAATAATAAAGAACAAAGTAAAAGATAGATGAAAGGAAGTAAGAAGACAGATATTTTTCAAATGGGAAGAGGATCAAGAGATGGGATGGGGAGGAAAGGGGATGAAAAAAGAAGTGAGATGTGTTACGCACACGTCCCAACTCTCCACAAGGGATGTGATCATTATGTACTACAAACGTGTACCAATAAAAAAAAAATCAAATATACAATCTGATATTTCCAGTTTAAAAAACATTAAATGACTCATTTGTTGATAATTATTGCATTCTTTTAAAAGAATATCACATGGATCACAATTTTTAAAATCCAACTGGTATAAATTACAAAAGAGAAGGGACATATTTATGAATCCAGGGAACAAACTTTGACACCCTTGTGTAAACACCAGGAAAGTTTGGTCTTCCACATCCATGTCCCCAACTAACAATGCCAGTCAAAATCCATTTTCCATCACTTTTTCTTCGACAAGACAAAGGTCCACCTGAATCTCCCTACACAAAAAGACAAGGTAAGCATAAAAACATTTGTCTTGTAGTCATCAAATTCATCATGTGCCTGATAGATTAAGTTTCCAACTTTTTTGCTGGGGGGCTAAATACTAGATGGTTCAGGAAGTGTCAAGAAATTATGTGAGCAGACCATGGTGGTGCAAGCCTGGAATCCCAGCACTAGGGAGGCTGAGTCAGGAGGATTGTTGCAAGTTTGAGACTAGCTGGGGCTCCATTAGTGAGTTTAACACCGGGCTGAACTACATAGCAAGGCCCTGTCTCAAAATTAATAAATGTGAGAAATAATGAGATACTGCTACTACCATTTAAAAATTGTATGATTCTTTTGTGCAAAACCAAAAGCTCCATTCCTTAAAAAAAATTGACCATTCCCTTTTCTTTCTTTCTTTTTTTTTTTTTTTTTTTTTTTTTTTCCCAAGGATCTAATATGGGAACTTGTGCTTGCAAGGCAGGTGGTAGCACCACTGAGCTAAATCCCTGACCCCCAAAAATTGATTCTTTAGACTAAGAATAATATTAGTAAGTTCTTGCAGGTGAAAGCAACTTTTACCTACTCCTGCCCAATAAACCTCAGTAGTAATAACAGTAGCAGTAGTAAAGGCTCACATTTATTTAGTGTTAGCTATACGCCAAACACTGTTTCAGGTCCCTTCATCCTCACTACATCCTTATAATTATCTTGGAAGGTAGACGTCCATCTCTGGGCAATGCCTCCCTAGAAGCCACCACATATGTGTTCTGTAGCTCTCCTATGCCTCCTCTTTTGCCTTCAGTCTATGCTTCAAGGGAATGAGTACATGAAATCTTTGTAATTTTAGAGTTAAGTAGCCACCAAAAGGAAATAAGTAGCAATCCTGAAACAGTGTATGAGTCTTTTTAGTTTGTATTATTGCTTGGCTTTTTAGCTTTTGGTCATAATAAAACTGAGATGGAACGAGAAATGTTGACCTCGTCCTGCAAATGTTGAAGGAAAATTCAGGCATACTAAAAAACTGATTCTATAAAACCTGTTCTTTTACCACTTTTGCCTGCTCTTAGGCAAAACCATTAATTAGGTTATAATTAATACTTGATCCACTCGGATGAGAGAAAGGGAATGCTTGCTCTAGTTTTTTCACCAGTGTTTGTAGGTTAAATAAGAAAGCATTTGTGGGAGATACAAAGGTGGGAGAAAGTTAAAATGACTTACTTTGCAGGCGTCTCTTTTGCCTGAAATCACTCCAGCACAGAGCATCCTCGAAGTGATAATCCCATAGGTAGAAACACAGAGGGTCTGATCAATGAGTTCTACCTCTGCTTGCTGCAAAACAGGGGAGCCTTTATTACCTGGAAAACACATTGAAGGTAGAAATCATGGTGCTGATAGTAACTATACTTCCAAGTTTTCACTGAAATTATCAAAATAGACTTCAGAGCAATTCTTTGAGATAAACTCTATGATTTTCCCCTTTTGCTAATGAAGAAATAGAGGTTTAGTGTACTGGATGACTTGCCAGGGGCACTCTGCTAGCACTCAGAAGGATTCAGGCCCAAAGTCAGCCTCCATCTCCTGAGTCATTGTGCCTCATTCGTTCACCAAGTACCTCTTGCTTTTTTGTCCACAGTACGACTGTCTTAGGTTCTTGATATCTCGAAGAATTAAGTGGGGCAAACAGAAATAGCAATGAAAGCACAGATTTATTAGTCGGGATATGTTCACCAGGGTGGGAGTGGGCCAGTGAAAACAGTTCATGGTCCTGAAAAAGCCAGGTGTCAGAGCCTACATGTAGCCCAGGGTAGGGGAAGCTCTTCGAACTGAAACAGTGATTCACAAATCTCCTTCTCTCTGTTGAAGGGGAGAGTTTTTTTCCCTTTATAGACCATCGAGGAACTTTCATGGTACCTAAAAGCCAGAGGAGTGTGGAACACAACATAAATGAGGTTATAATTAATTATAATTGAGTTGAGGTTACTTTTGTTTGTATAAAATATTTTATAGTGCATCTGTTCCCAGCCATGGCTTAATAATTAGAGATGGGTGCTCTTTGTGGTTTCTAGAGAACTTACCATGGGCCCCCCAGAGGCTGCAGCCCATGGGTCCTCTTGTCTTTCTCATCTGTGATCTGTCAGAACTCTGTGGTTTTTGAAGCCAGCTTCTTTTTCCTTCTGGCCTTCAGACCTGCTTCTTGCACAACTTTTTTTCTCCCAGGAATTTTTCCTGCCTACCCTCTTCCTCACTTTCAGAGGACTATGAGTCAGCCACCATAAGTATCAACCAATATTTACTTTTCAGGAGGGCTACTTAAAAGGAGAAGCATAACTGATATATAGGAGTCTCTAAGGAGCCATACAAACTTAACTGTTGTAGAATAGCCCTTTCACTTCCTTTTTAACCTGTATGACTTGATGATTCAGAAAAAATACACACACACACACACACACACACACAGAGAGAGAGAAAATGCCTCATTGGTTGAGTAAACTCTCCTCTTGTGATGTGTGACAATGTAATTAAAGCACTGAGGACAGAAACCTGTCCATTTCAGGTACTTAGATGGCTAGTTTCCTTCTCTCATTAAGACTCTGACATATCAGCAAATCCAAACTGGTAATGACTATTATTGCTTCAGTAACTAAATGAGAGCAGTGAGCATTTGAGAAACTGCCCACAATAAATCTTTAGAGAGCACCAAAATAAGGCTTGAGAGTAAGGTTCACAGACACCGTATCTGTCCTGAGCCCTAGAAAAGAAAAAGGAATCTGAGATGATTGGGCAATCAAATGAAAGTATTAGGACTAACCTGTTGGGAGACTGTCATGAAGTTGTATTCTTGCCCTCGCTATATATTCAGAACCAACCATGAATCCTGCACCATAAAAAAAATGGCAGTGTGGATGGAGGGGCTTCCCTACCATATAGCCTGACCTTTGTGCATACCGAAAGAGATATCTTTTCTGGGTGGAAGAATTGCAAAAGACATCCCCTCTGGATGAATCAGTTCTAGGCTGATGTAACCCCCAGGACTGACTGCAGTCTGGAGATCCAAGGGACGGCTGTATTTCAGCCCTCACTCTCCTCCTTTGGTAGCAGCCCTAGTACCGGCCATACCTGCATAACTTCCAGACAGTTGTCTGAGTTGACACAGTGGGGTGAGCATATGTGTGTCCTCTCCTTTTAACAGTGACTCACCCCTTTGGATAAGAAGAGAATTTAAGAGTAAAAATATTCTTCTATAGTGGAAAACTTAGCACTTTGCTCCAGAGTTTGAAAAGGAACCAGACTATCTTGTCAATCCCTCTCTCTCTCATTTTATCATCTGGGTCCTGCTCCTTTTGGATCAAGTGGAAAGGATCGTAATAGAGAAATAATAATGCCCTCTTCCAATCTAACCTCTCAGAAATCTCAAGAGGCCCAAGGAGATAATATATAAAAACCCTGTCCAGGAACCCCAGAGCATATCAACACAAGCTACTACCACCTGTGAAGGGAGGGCATGACAATTAATTCATATACACACCTGCTTCATGCCTTTGTCCCCAGCCAGTTACCCAACATTTCTCCCCACTGTGCACTTTCTGGCCTGCAGGAGGAATGCATATTGGCTGAATGAGCTGTTTCAGGGTTTCAGGCCAGGCAATACTGAGCTGTAGCAAAGCAATGTCATAATCAAAAGTCTGGCTGTTATAGTACTCATGGACCACAATCCTTCTCACTGGAGAAACAAACTTGGCATTTCCCTGAACATACATCCCAAGGTGAGCAGTCCATGGAGTGGGGTCTGACAGCCTAATGGAAAAGGAAAGAAACACCAGGTTAGTAGTTTGAAGACCCATATGTAATGAGGAATCAAACACTCTACAGAGAGATGGAGCTGAGAAAAGAAAGGGCTGATTCCTAGAAGTCATATCTTAGGCAGTGGCTCTGTTAGGGATGGGGCAAGAAGCACAATTCCTGTGAGCCTGCCTGTCTCTGGGGAACCAAAGATGAAGCAAGCTCTTATAAGAGTAGTGAGTTGAGCTGGGCGTGGTGGCACACGCCTGTAATCCCAGCACTCAGGAGGCTAAGGCAGGAGGATCGCTGTGAACGCCTGTAATCCCAGCATTCAGGAGGTTGAGGCAGGAGGATGGCTGTGAGTTCGAGACCAGCCTGGGCTACACAGTGACTTCCAGATCAGTCTCAACTACACAGGGAGACCCTGTCTCAAAAAAAAAAAAAAAAAAAAAAAAAAAAAAAAAAAAAAAAGACCACAAAGAGTAGTGAGTTGTAACTATGCTCCAGAAAATCTTTTCAACATCCCAGCATTCAGGAGGTTGAGGCAGGAGGATGGCTGTGAGTTCGAGACCAGCCTGGGCTACACAGTGACTTCCAGATCAGTCTCAACTACACAGGGAGACCCTGTCTCAAAAAAAAAAAAAAAAAAAAAAAAAAAAAAAAAAAAAAAAGACCACAAAGAGTAGTGAGTTGTAACTATGCTCCAGAAAATCTTTTCAACAGCATCATAAGGAAATGCCTGGAAATTTTCTCATGGATGGTATTTCATGAACAACACACAGGTCAAGAATGTGGATAACTAGAATTAATTTCTTACATCTTTCCTATTCTTACTGACAATGGCATTTGATGGAAATAGTGCCAGTAAAGTGGTGGTCTGGGAGCCTATCCACCAAATTCAAGTTATATGAATACCAAGATTTAAGATTTAATGTTTTAAGCTGAAGTTCAATGAAATTTCTTCCTGCAAACTACTAAGCCTTATATATCACTGTTGTTCATGCTCAAACGTGAGCACTCACAGGGACACCACACTCCAGCACCATGATCAGTGCTCCCAGAATTGTAATCTTGACTCCAACCCCAATCCTAGCCTTTCACAAGTCATAGAAGGGCTTTCATCCATTCTCCATCTGAGGCTTCAATCTCTACCAGCATAGCAGCCAGGGAGAAGAGTGGAGATAAAGAGCTTCTGAAGAAAAATAAGGAGGAAGCTCTGAGAATGTGGTCAGTAATCTGCTTAGATAATATTTCATGAGTGGCAATGAAGATCTAAAAGAATATTAAGGTTAATAGATTATTTAGAGCAGTTCCACAGCATTTAAGACTAATGAACAAACAGAAGTGGTTTTAGTAACTAACAGGAATCTTGTCATTTCCTGGAAAAGCAAATATCAAATTATACAACTTCAGTGAAATACTCCACTTTAAAAAGTCAGAATGAAAAGTGAATGATATTATTTTTGTACCTATGATCCAACAGATTTCAAGTAAGTTTAAATTTTACACTTTCTTTTCATTCCTAGCTAGAAGGTCACCTGTCCCTTAATTGGCAAAGGAAGACAGAGCTTCACCAATGCCAATCCAAATGACCCTAAGACACCCTGGTCCTAATGTAGCAGGGATCTCTGTGTTCCATCCACTCTGCAATGCTGCCCTTCTCTACGTTCTCCGCACAGTCTCCCAGATGCACCTCTCTGACTTGAAAGCCCAACCTTTACTTCCTCAGTAAAGCTTACTCATCTCTGATGCTTCATATTCTTTTTTCTTTTACGAGTAATACTGTTTAAAAATGTGTGACATACAACTGATCTCCCTGTCCTCCCGCTATCCAAACAAAGAGAAGTCCGGTGAATTGACTGCCCCCGTCAGAGAGCTTCTTCCCACAGCCCAATGCCAGGGGTATGGTCAGTGGCCAGAGGGCACCACTTGAGATTGCAGGTTGGGCTACCTTACCTGTTTCCATGGAAGCAGTGGGCTGCAGAGAGAAGCCACTCCCTGGAGATGACCGAGGCACCACAGTAGGCAGATCCGACAAAGTGGAGGCTGACCTGCCATGGCCAGGCCCCCTCCTGTGAGTCTGCTCCCCCAACTATTCGGTGCAGAGATGAGGAAGTTCTGCTGCAGCCTTTAATAGGGCGAGGGTCACATGACTTAAGGGCAGACTTAGAAGAAAACTGGTAATTAGGTCAGGTTTAGTTCTCGACTGGGAACTGACTCACCAAAGTAATATGAAATCTCCTGTTTATCTACACAAGAGGGAATCTATGGGTGTGACTGAAACCAGCACCAGCAGTCCATTCCTCCCCTCCCTACAGCAGGCCCTACTGACTTGGCGTCTCTACATAATGATGTATGGGCTCAGAGTGATCTGTGCTAACGGGTGGACTGATAGGAATGGCTGCTCGTGGGTTTAGGTTGCTGGGTGGGGAGAAAGAGATAAATCCTCAATATTCCAAATTTGAAAATGCTTTTAAAGTTGTGCTGATTTGAGAGAAAGCTTTGGGGAATTTTAAATCAAAGATAAATACAAACTTACTAGGAAAATCTAGTTATCAGAACAATCACTTTCCAATGCTAATAGTATTGATAAGGATATGACTAACATGTTGCCACATGGTCAATTAAAGGCCACATGACCAAAAAGACCATGTGGCAGATCACAGTTATTGGTTCTCAGATAAAGAAAAGACCAAAACTAGTTATTGTTCATATCATAAAGAATAGCTGAAAGTCATCCACTGAGTCCCAATAGTTCTTTTCTCACAAATTATTTTAAAATCTTCCTCCCTGTTCTCTTTATGTATCAACGCTTTTTATCAAAGGAGAAGATGGAATAAAACTCTAGTGTTTTATCTCTGAAAAACAATTTCAGACTCAGTTCAACAGTATTTATCATTACTCCCTGGGTCAGTGGCGACTTTGGTGAGATGAATTATACCAAGAAGGTACTAAAAATGGAAAATGGATAAATGAAGATGAAATACAAGAATCAAACAATTTTCAACAAATTTCTACTCACTACAGCTATCTTCATCACTTCCGTCTGGACAATCCACTATCCCATCACATCTTGCATTTTGCTTCTTAAAGCAAATATCATTGTCACACTTAAATGTTTTGTTGGTGCATGGAATGCCTGAAAAATGAATAAAAGAAGCAAGTTTTTTCTTTTAACCTAAAAAAAGATTTGAGCTAGGGACACTGAATTCTGCAAAGGGTGAATTAGCCACCAAATTGCTATTTGATGCTCAGAGAGAAACCAGCAGAGAGAAATGGAGTGACCTCACATCGACCTTGTCCTTCAGCTAAGCAGAGCCATGGGAAGACAAGCAGCAGGCACATGGGTTTGGAATCATCCTACTGCCTCTCCTTTCTTCTGTAGATGGGATGCAAAGGAGCAGGCCACACATGGCCACTTTCTATTGCCTTGGTTTTTTTTTTTTCCTCTAAGAACATTTTTTGAGCATAAATCTCTACCATACTCAGTCCTTTTAAAGCATTAGAAAAAAAATGGATAAGTGCTGCAAATTATACTGCATGTGTTCACAAACTTGGAGGTTTGCATTTCTACAGGGTTAGAACAGATGTCTCTCCATGGTCTCTGGAAAGTTCCTCTGTATCAGGTCCTCGGTATCCTACAACCTCAGTAGTGCTAAAAGCAAGGAAGCAATGCAAAGCTGCCAGAATGAATACAGGAGTACACGCAGGCATAACTTCACCCAGTTAGACAGACCAACTGTCTTACTTTGTCTAGGACTGAAGGGATCCCCAGGACAAAGGAATTTCCATTCTAACACTGGAAAGGTTCTATTGGAACGGAGACAGGAAGATGATCACCCTAACGCAGCAGATGTGTTTTGATTATGATTTAGTAATGTTCTAGAGGAAGAGCAGAGCACTGTGTGAAACTCCCTTCCTCACTCTGCGTGCAGTTGTGCTCATCCTGGCCATTCTCACAGTCCTGGAAACCATCGCAGACCAGAGGGCCAGGCTGCCAGAAGTGGGTAACATCACAGGCAGGTTTGATGGTCACTAGGATAAGAAAAGACAGAAAGCTCATGAGCCTGAGACATCACATCACTGTGCTCTCTGAAAAGCAGTGCTTGTCTAATGGTGCAAATCATTAAGATAACAAAGAATACAGAGAATATATTTTCCTTGAAACTGACACTCTTGTGAGGAAAATAAGGTATTTAAACTTCAATGTAATTCCTAGTACCTGAGTTTGTCAGACCCATTTCTTTGCTCTAGAATAAATTTGTTAAGCTCTGGTGGTGGTTTGTTTAATTATAATTAAATGCATCCTAAGTAATCTATTCCAAGGAATATTAATATCATAAGCTATTATCTAAATTAAACTTGTTTAACTTTCTACAGAAAGAGGAAATATACTGAAATTGGGAATTTTGTCTTATTCACCTGAACTTTAAGCCCTCGACCAAACAGCAGGCACTCACTAAAGGTTTTATTTATTTATTTATTGGTATTGGGGAATCAATCTTGGGTCCTTGCACTTGTGAGGCAGGCAGCGGAACCACTGAGCTAAATCCCTGGCCCACAGTAAAGAGTTTTTGAATGAATTAATGAATACGAGATCTTAGAGGACAACAGACATGTGCTATGTAAGAAAACTCTTTAAAATTAGTTTATTCTGAGAGATATATTTTCCAAAGTGGTAAATACCAGTGTAAATCCATAACATGTTTCTTCTTTGAAATATTTTGTTTAATTTCCTTAGGCAAGTGGTAAGCACAGTGTATTTAGCAAGCATGTTTTAGAAGGTGATACTTCCTTAGTCATTTCTAGGTTTGGGGTTTTTATTTATTTATTTTTTTTAGAATCACGTTTCATTCTCTGTGCCCATTTATTTGAGTAGTATCACCTGACTTATTTTGCACCCATGCCCTCCAAGGGACAATGGGAGAATACTACTGCCCTGAAATAGTTGGCTAAGTCTCTGTGTGTGCCCACCAGATGCCTATAGATTAACTGCAGAAAAATGACTAAATGGCACATAATGATTTCCCAAAAAAATCTTCCTCATTATAAAGTTAAAATAATAATCAATATTTAGAACATCAAAGAACAAAAATGTAAAAAAGAAAACACTTCAATCACTATATAATAGCAATTACTTTCTTAAGAAATAGAAGACAATGAATCCTTAAGAGAATTTAGTTTTGTCAATATATAAAGGTGCAGAGTCACAGGTTATTTTTTATGGACATAATTTTTCAGTTAGTCATAGTATACTAATTACAGTATTTCCCCAGTACTGACAGTAGTGTCACATTGCCCATTGAATTATATTCCCTATATTACTCTCATCAACTGAAGAAAGACTGAACAAGGTACAGGTAGTAACAAAAAAAGAAGACAGAGATTTCCTACCCAAGACAGAAATGTCTGGCACCCCATCCCTTGGTCATGACCAATGTGGTATCAATGCAGACTCTGCAGGTTAAAAACCAACGAAGAAAAACTGATACTTATTTACAACAACACCTGTGCTCCATAAACAAGAATGCCGAATTCTTTGCAGATTCTAAGCGAAGGATCTGTGCTTTTGAACAGGATTGTTGTGTTTAAGATTACGGTAGATTTAATTATTAGCCACAGATCTTCACTGTCTGTGGTCACATTGACGTACCTCATCTTTGGTGTGACCCCAGGGTGGGTGGGGTAAACTTCCCTGATCCTTGGTTTTGGTCTTAGCTAAGTGGCTTGCTTTGCACAGTGAAATATAATATGAGAGATTCTGTACTAGTTCCAAGCCCAGACTTTAGAAAAATAAATATCTCCTCCTCTGCTTCTGTCACTGCCAACCACTAGTCCCCTGGATCAGCAAGAGAAAAAAACCCTAAAGAATTGATCAGATCCCAACCTGTGTATGTCCAAACTCAGGAGGAACCAGCTTTTGAAGCAGGGCCAGCTCACTGAGCTCAGCCTAGCTCAGGCACCTCAGAGAGTATGGCCAAGGATAAGTAATTGTTTTAAGACACTGGGTGTTGGGGCAGTTTGTAATGCAGCAATAGGCAATAGCTACAAAAATTAAAGCTGCAAACCAGAAGCATCAATGTTCCTGAGAAGTTAATCCTTCTTAATGAGGTCACAGTAAAAGCTTTAATACCTACCACAGAAAAGTTCATCACTTTCATCAAAACAATCATTCACTCCATCACAGCGCTGAGACTTAGGGATACACAAACCGGAGGAGCATCTAAAAGATCCAACAGGACAAGCTATAGCCAATAAAAAATGGAAAATCTTGGGTGAGTCCTTAAAATTCACCAGACCACATTAGCAACAAAATACAAATTGTTAAGTGGTTAGGGATTTGGCAAAGTAGCAGGATTAATTAATTATACAATTTCTCCATCCCATCTAGGCTATCAGTAATTAAAGGAAAAAAATCTTAAGTAAGCAAAGAAAAAACTGAGTGAGTTAATTTATGGAAACTTTGAGCAAACACTACATCCAGGTAACAGGCACAATCACACTTCTGCTACCTCCATAACTCTGATTCAGCTTTGTATCATTGTTTTAGACTTAAAGACAAGAAAGCTAAAAGTAGCTCAGAGAGGCCAGCATTCTTAGTACACAGTCTTTAGCCTCTAAGGCCATTACAAATGGACTTCTGAGGTCTCCGAATTCTCTGTGATCAGATACATTATTTCATGGACTGTTAATTACATTTTCAAGGGAGCTGTGCTCCAAAACATCTTAGTAACCACTGATCTTATAGAAAGTCCAGGACTCCTACCTCTTATCTCACTGTCCCTCATTTTTTCCACTATGATCAGGCTCCTTATCAAAAATCCATTTGCTGCCTGGATCTCAATAATTAATCCCAGACTTCTAGATAAATGTTATAGAAATGATAGATCCTGCCTTTTTTCATACAGAGTGATAAGAGAGGTCAGCTACTGTCTCAATAACACACAATGGAGTTAATAGGTGATCTGCTAGAAAACGGTCATGGTTTGAAAGAACAGTTAGAAATTGGAGGGCTCACTACCCCTGTGTCCTTGCTGAAACTTATGACGTTCTGGCATTCAGAGTACACTATTGTGATTCCAGAACAGAGACATGGCAGAGAAGGACATGTTCAAAGGAGCCTTTTCTCAAGGAACATTCTCATAGAATTCTCAGTGAGTAACCGTTACTTTTACCCTTTTCAAGCGTGTCTAGAATTTCTCAAACAAGTCTTTTACTCTAGTGACTCCACTGAGACATTCCTGTTCTGCTAACCACTTCCTTGGCCACTACTCGAGTGGTTTCAGGGTCAGCGTCAAGTACAACATTCTGAGGGTTGGTATTTGAACTCCCAACTGACCACCTCCCTTGTGTATCATAAGACAAAGAGAATCAAAACTGTTTGCCTCAGATCCACTTAGTGTTGGTGTAAACATCTTATTTCCAAAGAATCATGGCTAGCAAGAAATGCAACAAACCAAGAAATGGTCCTATTCTGTTCTTTGGGAATGATGTGAGCAATTATATTTCAACTAGAAGTCATTAATGTCCAACAGTTAAATTAATTTTCTACAATTTATAATATAGCAGCAATATATAATTACATATGTATATTTGTTATCTTTGTATTAAATTTTTTAAAAATATGCAATAGGAAACAACAAAAATGAAGTTGTATTCATTCCTTATGTTTTCAACGTTTAGGAGTACAATGTTGGCTTACATTTTACCGCTTATTAGGGCTTTCTAAGGAACAATCCCAGGCTTACGTTGACTTATGTTGTAACTGCCATATTCTACCAGGAGTGGCTTGTCCGAAAACCTTGAACTGCACCGGAGCTGAATGTGAACCAGGGGGCTGGGCACACGGAAGATCGTCTGGTGATCCATGTAAGAGCCACAGTACCTGAGAACAGAGTCAGGGAGAACATGTAGCTTAAGCCTCTGTCAGTCGCATTCCTATTGATGATAAATTCGATAAAACTTTGGTCAGCCAGATTTCAGGAGCAGAGATGCGTATGGGAGAGCTAACGATAGTTACCCATCCTACGCTCTGCGATTACAACCCAAGAACCGCAGCCCCTCAATTTTCTCCTGTGCTAACTCAGCAATAATAGTACTATCCACCCGTGGCGTTCCTTGCCAACAGCTGTAAGCAAAATCACAGATTGAATTATTCCAGTCCTTCCACCTCTTTTAGTATAAAAAAATTCTAGTAGGAAGAATTGCCTACTTTTGTTCACAAACTTCTTTGCACAGCAGAATTCTTGAGCTCGAGTTGAAAATATGCTAAGAATACCATCGACACTTGAAGCAAAAGGCATTGTTTCAATCTCAATTGAAAATTGATGTGCAATTCAGGGCTTGTCCCTTTATAATATTCCCCTACCCTGATCTTTTTCCCCCTTACATCTCATCATCTGATGCCACCAGAATTTTCAGTATCTTTTTTAGAAAGTGTCCCTCTGGTGAATAATTTTTATTATATGAGCACTGCGGTTAAATGGAGCACACATGGTCCTATTACTGCAAGCTCATAAGAAAGTCTTTCACCTCACATGGGCAAGGTTTTTCCCAGGGTGAAACTTGCAATGTCTTCATGGGAAACAGAGAGCAAACACAAGGCTTAGCAGTGACATCTTCCTTAGAACCTCTAAATACCCTCCACACGAGACCCCCAAAGTTCTTGGAGACCACATACATGTTCTGTGGATCAGATAATGGCATTTAGAAGCACTTATAGTCTATGATTGTAAGGCTCCAGGGAGGGAAGCATTTACACATAAATGTGATGGGCTGATAGGCCAGCTCCTGGGATAAGAGGAGAATACAACAGCTGCAGATGGCCACCTGGTCAACTGGGAGGCAGAGGCTAAGGGACAAGCCAAGCTTTTGGAGCCAGAGGCTGGTTAGTCATCTCAGGCTGCGAATCCTATGCTCTGAAGACAGATGATTACATCATCCATGTCTCACAATGACTTCCCCCCTCCATTAACTTTTTGTATTTTCTTGCAAAGATGAGCCCCACTGGGGTGTGTTAATGAGGAATCAAGAAAGGGATCTTTTCATCCATGCTTGGGTTACAGTGTAAATTTGGGGGCATTATACAATGGGATATAATGGTGGCTTATAGAAAGAAAGGGGTAAAAAAGGGAGAGATTGGGAAACCCAGCAAGAGTCGGTTGACATACACAGACGTATAACAAAGAAAGTGAGATGTAAAGAAGGGACATAACTTTTAAAAGTTCAAATGTAAGCAAGTAGAACCAGGATTTGGAGACAAATCATGACTGATGCTAACGGGACACATTTTGGGAAGGAGACTAAGAGACAGGGGGAAGGGGGAAAATGAGAGACAGGAAGAAGACATAAAAGAATTGTCTCAACTCCCTGTGACAAATGTAATCATTAAGTACTGCAAACGCTGGTACTGAGCGCTACTGAGCTACATCTCTGGCTAAAAGGCCTTCTTTTTAAGCTTTGTGATCCTGAAGTCTTAGAAAACACATTATTTCTTCTGGGTTCACACACTGTATCTAGTTGCCTTGAGTTACAGACCCGCTTCTTTGTTCTGTGAGATCCTTAGGCTCGCTCCAGCCTGCAAGATTTACTTTTTCCTCCTTCCCCTTCAGATCCCCAGTTCCCTTAAGCAACTCCTTAGTGAGGTGTCTGATTAGTTAGTTCAATTGGAGCCTTTCCTTTCCAGACAAAAAGGACTGATAAGGGAAGGGCTGGGCATTTTAAATCCTAAAGGCATAATTGAACCTGATAGGACTTCAACCAGCCTAAAAGACTGGTCCTTCAGGGAAAGCCTGAGGCAGAGAGCTTTCTTTTCTGGGGTTGGCTTGGGAGGAGACTGCTTCTACTTGTAGCAACACATCCTGGTGGTGGATGCTTTTACTTAGAGGGAAAAACTCTCTCCTTTTAAAGGCCCTGTTCTGTACCAGGATTGCAGCTTCACAGATTTGAGTGCTAGATCTCTGTTTTGATTAAGTACTCAAATGCTGTGTGGGGTTCATTCCATAGTATTTATCCTCCAATGTCATTTCCCAAACAACCTTGTTGCTTACATTTGTAATATTTTTTGATGTGTAGAATGCATTGTTTCATTCAATGTTTTTTAGCAAACCCTGTTGAATAAAAATTATCGCCACATTTTACAGACTGAAAATCAAAGAAATTAAGTAATTTGTCCTAGTAATTATAACTACTAATGGTTGGAATTTGAACTCAGATCTCTAACTGCTACAATATAGCCCTTTGATTCAATTGTGCTGCCAAAAGGAGTATAGGCTACATTTTAATAATGGATCCAAGAATGCTTTCCAATGACCTATTCCATGGAGACAGGACCAGGGACTATTTTGCCGGTATTCTAATCTAAAGGATCTCAAAGAGGACTGTTCAGGAAAAGCACTTGGAAAGGGAAGATTTCATTCATGCAATAGCAGCAAGCAAAAAATTAACAAGCACTTCTTTTAATATCACAAGATTCTTCTGAGAAAATGAACTGAGAAGCTATTTTGCTACCAAGGCAGGGCATTCAGTTTTTTAAAATACTGATTCAGCTGAGTGCCTACTGAACGCGTGTTAAAGTTTCAGAAACAAAGGAACAAAATTTAGGGGAGAAATTAAGAGTGAGGACTTACTAGGTTGATTCAGGAAGCCCAAGAACCTACACCGCTCTGAATTTCTTTCTGATCAGCTTCACTCATTCCCCAGAATTCCCGTAGAATCCACCCAGTCCAATGAGGCCTCTCTTATCACACAGCATTGCCTAATGGCCTCAAACTCCTGTACCATAATTCCTATGTTTTACTTTCCGTATAGCTCCATGACAATGAAAATTTTATCTACCAAATACTTCTATAAAGTGTACAAAATACATATTGATAGCCCAGCAGCATCAAGCAGAGGTAAGGCAGAAGCCCTAAGACATGGATGGGAATCCTGCTTCAAACCTGCAGGGGCCGGTGGCCTTTTGCGGTTACTGAACTGTTCTATCCCTCAGCTCCCCTCTTTTATGGAGTAGTTTTGTTTTTGTTTTTGGTACCAGGGATCAAACTCAGGTCCTTGTGCTTTCGAGACAGAACCACTGAGCTTCATCCCCAGCCCCAGATCCCTTCTTTGCAAATAACTACAGGCAAACAGTTTGAGGCAAGGAGCTCAAGGCTGTAAACTTTTCATCAGAGTTCTCATAAAACGAAAATCACTTACATGTGCTCATTGATTTCCCACCATCCATGCTCACAGCCTTTTGCTCCCTTCTTGGTTATTGCATAGTTATGGAATTTCAGTGCTATCCCAAGAGTTGACAGGGGAGTCTGTGAAAAACAAACATCAAGTTAGAAAAATGCTGCAGTCCAAGCATGCATTTCAGGCTGAAATTTTCTTGCACACTGAATACTCTTTCCTCTGCCTGCTGTTTAAAGGTCTTCTACTCCTGTAATCTCAGGCCTGTGGTAGGGTAAACCAGTTCCCCTGAACAAACCAAGGTCAGGAGATCAAGAGGAAGAACCAAGTGGATAGGCAGATATTCAGGGAGAGGCTACTGGGTCCACTACACATTGGTACCTGTGGGGTACACATCGGTCTCTCTGGAAATCACTTTCCTCCTGTTAGATGACATTGATTTTGAAAACACTAGTTAATAAATGCAAAGAATTTCCTCTGTTGATAAAAACAATAGCACCGTTTCAAGCATCATTTAGAGCATCATTTAGATTCTTCAGATAAAGAAGTGAATTAGCATTCTCTTCATACTAAACCTAGATGTTTCTGAAAGCTATTACTGAATCATCTCTGGCCTTTTCAGAAGAGATCAAAGGAGAAATAGCTGCCCGTGTATATAACAAACACATACACACAGTGTAGTTAACCTTTCTATTGCACTGTATGATATAAGCACATATTATGTCCAACAACACCAAAGTTTTAGTTTTTATTCTTACTTTTACCCAAGAGAGTTTTTTACATTTCCAGAGTTGAATTTGGACTCATACATATTCAAATTTTCTAAATTCACTTTAACTGGATAAAAGATTATGGTTTATATTGCTTTTGATTTTTTAATTCATTAAAGATTTTTTTTTGAGACAGGGTCTCGCTATGGAATTCAGGCTGGCCTCGAACTCACAGCCTCCCAAGTGCTGGGGTTACAGGTATGTTCCACCACTCCCAGCTCATTAAAGATTTTATTGTGATTAATTTATTAATATTCCATGGTCACTTTCATGGAAGCATTCTCTGCTTATGCATACTACTAAACCCATTGGTGTGCTTTAATGTACTTCTCGGACCCATTTACTGTCCTTCACCATCTCTGGCACGAACCAAGCAAGATCAAGAGAAGAGAATTAAAATCTACTTCACCATTACTTACTTTGTTTTGTACATCCCATAGCTTTCTCTTCATATGTATTAATGCTGTGTCATTTGCTGCATGCACAATGGTCATTACCAGCTGCTTGCCTTCTCTTACTTTCAAATCAGGAAAGTTGTTTCCCTAGATTGTGTGTTGCCTGGCACTAGGATTATAAACACTGCTTTCTTTTTATTCATGCTTGCCTGGTATGATCTTGTCCATCCTTGCTATTCAGCTTTGTTGATCCACTTTTTAATGTATTTTGTCTTTTCAAAAGAATACAAAGTTAAGTTTTAGGCAATACTCTGCAATTCAATCCTGCTGTCTTTTTATTTAGATGAATTTTACTCATTGACTTTTATCACTCTGAGAGATGTTTGTTTTTAGTTATGCAACTATTTTATGTGTTATGATTTCCTGTGGTGTATGTGTGTGTGTGTGTGTGTGTGTGTGTGTGTGCGCGCGTGCACATGTGCCCACCTTTCTCTGCCTACCTTCGAGAAGGAATAAATCAAGCATTTTATATTTCTTATTTAAACATCATGGCAATCCTGTTAGGCAAGTAGCCTGAATCTCATTTTATAAAAGGAAATGCTGAGCTGGGAATGGTGGTGCACGCCTGTAATCCCAGCACTCAGGAGGCTGAGGCAGGAGGATCACTGTGAGTTCAAGACCAGCCTGGGCTACACAGTGAGTTCTAGAGCAGTCTGAACTACATAGTGAGACCCTGTCTCAAAAAAACAAAAAAGAAAAAAAAAAGGAAATGCTATAACTAACCAAAAATAAGTAACTTTCTCAAGGTATGGAAATGCAGATCAGAGATTCAAACTCTTCTTGCATTTCTCCGCAGGCCACTTCCCCTCAGTGCACCATGCTGCTTGAAAGCCGATGTGCAGGACTCCTCCTAAGTGGGCAGCTTGGTCTCCTGTGGAGCAAAGGCCTGGAGCTTATGCGAACACAAATCAGTTTGTTCCCAGGCTTGTTGTATTGTTATTTCTCCTTATGAACAAGGTGAAAACTGAGAGACAGTATCTTAGGTAACCAAAATACATTTTACTATGTACAGATGGGTGCAACGGTGCACGCCTGTAACACCAGTACCCCATGGGCTGCAGCAGGAGGATCATGTTCCAGGCCAGCCCGGACTACACAGTGAAAGGCTGTCTCAAAAACACCCAGAACTTTTATAGTGTAGGAATAGCTTCCAGTGCAATCCTCTACCGAGAAACTTGCTTTGGTGTTTATACCATGTTCCATTGCCTCAAAATAAAATAGATTTATATGCATGACCATGCCTCAATCCTGAGATTCTGCATAATGAAAGGAAATAGCACTGCCTCTACTGACACAGAGCGGCACACATTTCTACACTTGCACAGATTGTCTGAAAGCCACTACTGACACTAACCTGCTTGACAAACAGAATGAAAGGGTACAATTCCTCAGTACTACAAACTGTTTTGACAAATAAACAAAAACAACTGTGCTATTTCCTTATACCTTCTGTATTCTCAGTTTCCCTTCTCCACCCTCTGCCTTTGTATTGGTAACTATAAACAAGCAAAGAAAGGGATTCTTTTAATCTGGACCTATGCTATTTAATTATTTCTCTAGTCAGCGATGGCAACAGGTGCTGGGAACATTTTATCCTTCAGTTACCCCTAACTTGCCAGTGGTTGAGTGTACACATCCCAAAACTCACCTCAGATGAGCACAGGGAATTTCTGTGGCGATAAGGCCTGCATATTTTCTTCACAGAAGCAGAGAAAGAGGGGCTCCCTCTTGGGTACTCTCACTGACGCCCTAAGTGATGAAGTGACTTACAGGTCCCCTGCTTCTGTTTGATGGGGCTAAATTGAATGATTTAGGGCTATGATATCTCTAATGAAACAAATCAATGCACCACTCTGTGTGTTCTTCAAGGATTCTGTAACAACATGTATTGGAAAATAAAAGCAAAGGAAAGGGAAGTAAATGTTCAGCTAAGTGACTGTTATAAGGCACAGGGAAGATGGACATCTTCAGAAACCCAGGAAAAGGGTAGAGGCCAGATTTATTTAGAAAGCAGCATGGTTTTATTTGTTTAACCTCCACAGGATGTGGACACAGCCTGGTCTCTGTGAAACAGTGTCTACCTCCAGGTTTACCCCTGACAGTTCCTATCTCCCTCCTCCAGTCTTACTGGCAACCCATTTTCCCTATAAAGCCTTGCTTTTTGGCAGCGTTTCTAGCCCTTAACCTCTAGCAAAACAGAAAGTGATCTGATATTCCTATTCACACCCTGACTAAAAATTCCAGCAACGAGGTCCAGGGATTTTATTTGTAAGTATATGGCTTATCATAGAATCACAATTTATTTTACATCAAGAATTTCAGACATTTGTGGGGAGAAAGGAACCCTTCTCCATTGCTGGTGGGAGTGCAGACTGGTGCAACCACTATGGAAATCAATATGGAGATACCTCAGAGAGCTGGGACTAGAGGTTCCATTTGACCCAGCCATCCCTCTGCTCGGTGTCTTTCCAAATGAATTAAAAGAATCATACCACAGTGATATATGCGCACCTATATTTATAGCGGCACAGTTTGTAATAGCTAAAAGTTGGAAACAGCCCATTTGCCCATCAGTTGGAAACTGGATAAAGATGTGGTTTTTCTATAAAATGGAATGCTATTCAGCCATAAAGAATGAGAAATTAGACTCATTCATAGGAAAATGGATACATATTGAGGATATACTCCTAAGTGAAATAAATAAATCACACATGTGTAAATACCAAATAGTTTCTCTCATGTGAATAAACTGTAATAGTACACAAGATCCTAATGAGATAACTGACATTGTGAAATGGGAAGAAAAGGGCTAAATGTGTAGGGAAAGTGGGAAGGGTAGGGGAAAGGTAATAAGGGAAAAAATATGAGAAAATGAAAAAATGGAAATAAAGTGTTTGTAAATGGGGAGGGGAAGAGGGGGTGAAGGAAAGGCAGGGACAAGGGGAAAAAATGAGAACCAAGACTACCTGTCACGCAAAGATACAAGATCCCAATAATGAATGTAACTGTACTGTATACCTAAAATGTACCAATAAATTCAATAAAAGAAAAAATCAATAAATGCAAAGAACATATACATAGTGGGTAAAACATTCAGCAAAAGTATGAGTTTGGGTTATATTTACATAATAATTTTACCTGGAGTCATTCCAAGTATATCATTAAAATAAAATTTTCCAATAGTTAAAAAAAAAAAAAAAGAATTTCAGACATTTGACAGAGCTTTTCAGAATGGCACCTCTCTTGTTCTGGCTATTATACTAACCTAAAAAGAAAAATATGCTTTCTGGAGATATTGAAGAGACGGAGATTTGCTTTCTTTCCTTTTTCCTTTTCCAAGTCTTCCTTTCATCTATGCTTTCCCTAAATCTCCTCAACCACTGGTCATGAGATCTTTAATGCCTTTACAATCTGTCAGTAAAAAGGGGCCTAGCATCTTAATCTTCTAATTATTTTGGAAATGCTTGTGATAATGACAAATAATTTAAGACTACGTGTCATCAGGACATGGACACCAAGTCTAGATTTGGGGAGAATAAGAAATTATTTGAACTATTTCACTGATATGACTGCACACAAATAATTATGCATGCATCATGCACTTCCTGCCTGAGAATCTTTTCCTCATCTGTTCCCTCACTGCAACATTCTTATCCTGCAGGTCTCCAAATTTAGCTCCCTCATGCTTCTCGGGTATCTAAGCTTCTCTTGTCAATGAGGCTTTCTTTGGCCATCCTATTTTAGATAATAAACCTCTAATTTCTTCCTTTCCAACTTTCTATTCAAGCTATAAAGCCTCTTCCCCGCTTTATTTTCCTCCACAGCATGTCACATACTACACACAACTGTCATGACTCTCTGTGGAGAACTAGCTTTAGGACCCCAATAAATATTTAAATCTGTGAATGCTCAAGTCACTTTATAAAATGTTGTAGTATTCGTATATAACATATATTTATGTATCTTTCCACATCTCTAGATTACTTATAATTACTTTAAATCATCTGTAGATTACTTATAATACCCAATGCCAAGTAAAGGCTGCATTAACAGTTGCTGTATTTTATCTTTTAGGGAACAGTGACAAGAAAGTATCTGTACACTTTCAGTACCATCTGCTGTCAGATGAATCTACCGATGCAGAAACCACAGATACAGAGGAGTCTCTAGATACTAACTTGTTTTTTTGTCACTTGTCTCCCTCTACTGGAGGGTAAGCTCCATGAGTCCAGACTTTTGTTTTTGTTTTTGTCCAGTTTCATAGATCTTCAGAGCCCAGAGTAGTGCCTGGTACTTAGCCCAGAGTAGTTCATTCAAAACCACATAGATGACAAAAACTACATATATTTTCCATTTACATCTAATTGCTGCACTGCATCATAATAATTTTATATGTATACACTGAAAGAGCAAAGGTGACATTTAGTCTTATCACTATATACTACCATAGTTGAACAAAGCACAATAGTCAAGTCTCATATTTAAAAACAGTAACACCCTTATACCAGAGTGGTGTGTACTTTATAGACATTTACAATTTTGTTTGTTTAGGCAAAATATATATTGATAATCCAATTTATTTTATTATTTCTATGATGCAGAAACTATCATTGACAAATGAACTCTATCATAATAAAATAATTGTTAGATCCTGAAATAACCCCTTTCCATTTTTAATACAAATAAACAAAGTAATCTAGAGAAATAAACCCACTGCTAAGAACAGCTAATTTGTCAGTAGAAGGTTGAAATTATAGGAAATTTCACTTCTTGGTTCATATATTTTGATAAGGTTCAAACTTTATAAATTTAAGTGATATTATTTTTTAATTTAAAAAATAAAGATAACAAAAATTAACAATAAAATTATACCAAAAATAGGATAACGTTTTCCTACAATTCTGATAAAACGCAGCTACCTGAAATTTCCAGGTACACTTGCATTTTGGAGGATAGTAGCTCGGATAATATGGACTTGAAATTTTCCCCTCAAAGCTTGTGATTTCTCTGACCAATACTGTGTTTTCACATTCTGAAAAAGATATCCAGTAACACACAATGACTTTCAGTTGTGAAATTATACAAAAATACACTGCATACATTTCTGTAATTACAAACGCACACTTCCTTAATTAACAAGCTGGTATATTTTTGAACTTTTTTTTTTTTAAGAAACAGCACTGTACAGATGTTTAGCTAAAATACTTGTTCTCAAGTTCCATGTTTGTTTTCAAATCCTGTACTTCAGCTAAAGATCTGTGTGATGCTAGGGCTTTCTTTGAAAACATTGTTCTGAACTCTGAAATTCAGCACAGCTAAACAGCACCTCCTCACCAAACTCTAACCTGTGACAGTTTCAACCTCTCTTCTGCACTCTTCCAAGGGCCTACGTCTCTTACATCCTTCAGGTTTTCTTATTTTGAGTTACCTGCTCAACACCTTTATGCCAGTTTACCAGTACTTTATTACATTCACTCTGTTCTCTCTTCTGACTGACTGGGCCCTGCGTCAGTCAGAATAATGACTAATTCCACTAATATTATAACATGGCTTCAGGAGGGAGAAGACTTACTTTGCTCTGGAATGACCTCAAAGTATGCCCGGATTCCTGACAGCCTCCGTATGTAGGGAGACTTAAGTGTCACTAACATGAGATTGTTTGTAGAAACAAATGACATTAGTGCTCTTGTGGGTTCACAAAGTCTGAAAACAGATAACAAAACAAAGTACATGAACAATAGGCCACTTGAGGACAGGCCTCCAGCCAACATTAGTTCCCCATGTTTCCAGAGTCATCTACCCAGTTCTCATGAATCGGTCTCTGCAGCCAGGTCTTTACCGGTTAGCGGCCACAGAGTTATGCAAATGAGATGGGGCTGCAAAAGGTCCAGAAATGTTTTGTTCAGTAGCTACCACCAAAGGATTGTCTTGGATGCCTGTCCCTGGCACCTCTCTGAGTGCAAATAAGGTATAAAGGCAGGATATGTAATCGCTAAGGTCATGGGTTCTGTAGCAGGAATACTGCATTCCAAAATCAGCTCCCCTGATGAACTAGATAAAAGATACCAGGCAATCAAGCAACTAAATCCATGGAAGTGCCCCTTCCCTTCTATGAAATGGCAGTAGTAATAATAGTATGCTTCTCAGAAGATTGTGGTGATGATTAAATGAGATAAGTCTAGGGCCGGGGATTTAGCTCAGTGGTTCTGCTGCGTGCCTCACAAGCACAAGGACCAGAGTTCGATCCCCGGTACCAAAAAAAAAAAAAAATGAGGTAAGTCTAAAAAATGTCTGCAAGTGTCAATTAAATCTAGAAGTTTTTTGGCTCTTCAATGTAGAGTATCATATCGTCAGCAAATAATGACAGTTTAACTTCTTCCTTTCCTATCTTTATTGCTTTAATTACCTTCTCTTTTCTAATTGCTATGGCTAATGTCTCCAGAAATACATTGAAGAGAAGGTCAACACCTAAAAATCAATAGCCTTTTTGTACACAAATAACAGACTCACTTAGAGAGAAATTAGGGAAACAATTCCTTTCACAATAGCATCCAAAAAAATGAAGTATCTAGGAATCAATCTAACAAAAGAAGCAAAAGACCTCTTACACTGAAAACTACAGCACTCTGGAAAAAGAGATCTCAGAGAATATAAGAAAATGGAAAGATCTCCCCTGCTCCTGGGTAGGAAGAATCAATTTAGTGAAAATGGCCATACTACCAAAACTGCTGTACAGATTCAATGCAATGCCAATTGAAATTCCAACACTATCTTTCACAGAACTAAAACAAAAAAGAATCTAAAAATTCATTTGGAACCATAAGAGACCTAGACTAGCAAAAGCCACCCTAGGCAACAGACACATGGCAGTGGGTATAACAATTCCCAATTTGAAACTATACTACAAAGCCACTGTGATAAAAACAGCATGGTACTGGCAAAGAAACAGACCTGAGGATCAGATGTACTCAGCTACCTCATCTTTGACAAAGGAGCTGACCATCCCTACTGGAGGAAAGATAGCCTCTTTAATAAATGGTGTTGGAAAAACTGGATCTCAACCTGCCAAAGATTAAAACTAGACCCTTATCTTTCACCATGCACTAAATTAAAATCCAAGTGGATTAAAGATCTAAATATTAAAACAGAAACACTAAACTTGTTGGAAGATAAGTTAGGCAGAACTCTGGAAGACATTGGCATAGGAAAAGACTTTATGAACAAATCCTCAGTAGCTTGGGAACTAGCAGAAAGAATCAAGTGGGATCTCATCTTGTTAAAAAGCTTCTGCACTGCAAAAGAAACCATCAACAGAACTAAGAGACAACCTACAATGTGGGAAAAATTTTTTCCTAGCTGCTTCTCAGACAAAAGACAATTATCTAGAATATATAAATAATTCAAAGCAATCACCCCCCCAAATATAAAGACCCGATTCATAAATGGGCCTCTGAAGTGAACAGACATTTCTCAGACAAAGAAGAAAAAGCAGCAAGTAAATATATGAAAAAATGCTCCACATCACTGGTCATTCGAGAGATGCAGACGAAAACAACACTGAGATTCCAGCTCACCCCACAACGAATGGCTGCTATCAAGAAATCACACAATAACAAATGTTGGCTGGGTTGTGGGGAGAAAGGAACCCTTCTCCATTGTTGGTGGGAGTGCAGACTGGTGCAACCACTATGGAAATCAATATGGAGATACCTCAAAGAGCTGGGATGAGAGGTTCCATTTGACCCAGCCATCCCTCTGCCAGGTATCTTTCCAAAAGAATTAAAAGAATCATACCACAGTGATATATGCACACCCATGTGTATAGCGGCACAGTTTGTAATAGCTAAAACTTGGGAACAGCCCATTTGCCCATCAGTTGCAGAATGGATAAAGAAGATGTGGTTTTTCTATAAAATGGAATGCTACTCAGCATTAAAGAATGAGAAATTAGATTCATTCATAGGAAAATGGATACATATTGAGGATATACTCCTAAGTGAAATAAATAAGTCACACGAGTAAATACCAAATAGCTTCTCTGGTGTGAAAAACTATAATAGTGCATAAGATTCTAATGAGATAATTGACCATGTGAAATAGGAAAAAAGGGGGGAAATGGAAAGGGTAGGGGAAAGGTACTAAGGGAAAAGAAAAAAACATGAGAAAATGAAAAAAGGAAATAAAGTGTTTGTACATGGGGAGAGGAGGAGGGGGTGAAGAGAGGGCAGGGAAAAGGGGAAAAAATGAGAACCAAGACCTGTCATGCAGAGGTACAAGATCCCAATGATGAATGTAACTGTACTGTATACCTAAAATGTACCAATAAACTCAATGAGGAAAAAAAAACCTTACTTTTGGTGTGTAAATAGGAAGGAAATGACTAAAGGAGAAGTGGAAGAAAGGAAATAAGGGAAAAGAAAAAATGTCAAAAAAGAAAAAAATGGAAACAAAGTCTTTGTAAATAGGGTAGGGTGAATTGGGTGAAGGGAGGGCAGGGGAATGGAGAAAAAAATAAGAATCAAGATACATCAGGCTGGGCGTGGTGCACACGCCTGTAATCCCAGCACTCGGAAGGCTGAGGAAGGAAGATTGCTGTGAGTTCAAAACCAGCCTGGGCTACATGGTGAGTTCAGGGTCAGTATCAACTACATAGTGAGACCCTGTCTCAAAAAACAACCAAAGGGAAAAAAAAAGATTCAACATACATCATGTAAAAGTACAAGATCCCAATGATAAATGTGACTGTATTGTTTGCTTTAAATGTACCAATAAATTTAACAGGAAAAAAATTTTAAAAATAAAACTCACCTTTAGGGACAGTGATTTAGCTCAGTGGCACTGTGCCTGCCTCTCAAGCACAAGGTCCTGAGTTCAATCCCCAGTAAAAAAAAAAAAAAAAGAAAGAAAGAAAAAGAAAAAAAATCTAACCTTTCAAAACTTACTTTTATACTTTATAATGTTGAACCTTTAAAATGCACATTGATCACCAAAATATAAACACATGTGCACATACCCAAAATAAAATACTGTGACATACATAAACACTGTTAAAATAAAGAGGTAATTTACATATTCTTTTTTTTTTAATTTTTTTGAGTTTATTGGTACATTTTAGGGATACAGTACAGTTACATTCATTGTTGGGATCATGTACCTTTACATGGCAAGTCTTGATTCTCATTTTTTCCCCTTACCTCTGCCCTCCCTTCACCCCCTCCTCCCCTCCCCATCTACAAACACTTTATTTTCATCTTTTCATTCTCTCACATTTTTTTCTTTTCCCTTTTTGTTCTTCCCCTACATATCACACAATTTACATATTCTTAACAGTGAAATAAAAAGTCACAATTTATTAAGAAAGCCTGTTATTATTAGCATTATAAAGTTATTGAATATTAAGCACCCTTAAATAGATTTCTACTTTTAAGTAAAAATATTAGGATAGAGATAAATATGTGTATGTACATATATATATGAAAAAATTATGCTAAAATGTAACAGAAATTTGTTCCAGGCAGTGAAACTATAAAGTAATTGATACAATTTTCTCTAACAGATCTCATTTTCTACCCCAAACATCTGTTATCTTTGTGGTAAAAAAAAAGTTTTACTAATGCTATGTGATCATCATAGAATATTTGCTTTTTATTGGAACAGCAGACTTTGTTGTCACTGTAATAAAAGTACAACTAGCAAAATACCTGTCATTTTTAGATGGATTGGCTAAAGTCCTTGCTTTTCTCATTGCGAGAGACTGTGTGTTAGAAGTGCAAAGCAAACACTGGTTCCAATGAGCTCTGACAAAAGTACAAAAATATAAGGGTGAAAAATAGGGCAGAGGTCAGCCTTTGATTCCATAAATGTACACAAAAATGCTTTCATAAAATCCAAGGGGAAGGCCGGGGATTTAGTTCAGTGGTTCCCGCATCCACCTCGAAAGCGCAAGGACTCGAGTTCGATCCCTGGTAACAACAACAACAAAAAAACCTTTTCACCCATCAACAAGAGTGCTTGCACGCATACCTGTACAAAACCATGCTCCGGATTGGCAAAAGGGCATCGTAAATGGTGAGTGAGTCAGTGACACAGCTGTCAGCTTCCAGTTGAACGGACTCGATGGTGAGACGAATCAGATAGCCCACTATGGCCACCAGCTTGAAGTGACACATCAGCTGCCCGGAGGTTGCGGAGACCTCCAGAGGGTAGCGGAGAGAGGAATGATCTGCGTAGAAGTACTGAGAGCAGCCTTTGTCTGTGGAGACAGTACTTGCCTTTGACTTTCGTTCTATTTTCTCTTTCTAGATTTATTTTTCTTGATTTTCTTTTCTTTCTTTTTTTTTTTTTTTTTTTTTTTTTTTTG